AGGGCCTAACCCTATTGTGTTTAATTGTTTGCCTTGTGTTTAACTTCAGAAAATGGAAGTGAAGAAGGATTAAGTCCAATCATCTCCACGAACTCTCTGTTATTCTTTTCCTTTTTGGAGAAGTACATTTTCGTTCAATGGATATATCGAGGTGATACAACTGCACCCTGCGAATATTGGGCCTGTGAATAGCATTATCCACACAATCAACACGTCCAACACAACTAAAAAGAAAATATTATTTTGCATCAATAGTAAAAAAATGTTCACACCTAAACCTTCTGGGCAATATGTTCCAGCTAGGTAGACTCCATTATAAAAAAGTCTTTGTCTTTCGGTTTTAGAAGAACAAGTAAAGAGCCATCACACACATGCATGAATAACATGTGCAGGAGATGTAACACTTTTTTTGGTCGAAAACCAGATCGGCCCAATAAGACACAAAGCCTACATAAGGTTGCCACCCCCACAAAAATATGTACAGAAAATTGTTTTTAGTACCCCGCAACCTATTGCCAAACATATGAAACGCACTACGTAGGGGTAAAGGTTTGAAGTTGTTTGATTTATGTCCCACACTGCAAAAGCAAACTTACATTAAAAAACATATGTCCCGCACTGCTCAAGCAAGCTTACATTCAAAAACATATGTTCCACACTGCAGAAGCAAACTTACATTAAAAAACATATGTCCCACACTACATGGATCTCCGCCGCTTCCGGAAGGAGTGTGCCCGACCGTGGGCATACTCAATCTGGCAGGAATCCATTGTGTCCGCGCAAATGGCGCTTGGATCCGCCAGAGCGGGTGGCTCGAGACACGTGACCATGGCCTCGACGGACGCAGTAACCACCGCTTGCAACATCTTCAGTGGCTCCATGTGGCATCGAGCTTCTAGTCAGAGGTCAACGACACGCCTCACGTCCCGTCCGCTGTGGACGCGGGTTGTGGACGCGAGGCGTGCCCTCCGTGCGAGGCCGAGGTCGCGAAGTCGCACACCGCCTTGGACGAGGCCGGTCCGTCCACATCTATCATTGACCTCATCTCGACCGGCGACGTCCAGGCCATGGCCTCCGATGAGGAAGAGTTGGGTATGGGAGACGATGACGCCTCATGTCCCATGTGGGCCAGGTCCCGTGTCCAATGTGCTATTCTTCCTTGTCGTCGACCGCACCTTCACTTCCAAGGGCTCACGACCGCCGGACATGGACACAAAGGGGAACAACAAAGGACTTGGAGCACATACGGTGGCGAAGGTTTAGACTAGGTTTTATAGACTTTTGGACGATGTGTGTAATTGTATGGATATGAGAATTTGCTATGAGGTACCTCATTGTGAAAGAACACATTTGAGGGGGACATTTGAGGGACGACCGATCACTGTCCTTGTACGCGCCCGTCCACGTCCCCATATGTTTAGGTGGCCGGAATAGCCCTTCTATAGATGCTCTTAGCAGTCTTGCAACATCATCATTCATCCACTACCAGGACCAAGGTAACACACAACTCAACCAAAGTGAAGCCCACACGAGAAGCAAGTGATGCAGGAGGCCCAACAACTAAGGTCACATGTGTCATGAAATGTCATGGTTCCATTTCATAGGATTGGAATGGTTTCATCTTTGTGTTTGGTATAATAATGGAGTGGAATGAAATGGAACCTGAGTGTTGCATACTGGCATGTCGCCCTTTAGCCCCGTGCACCCACTCCCTACCCACCGATTCAGGAGGAGATGAGGGAGAGGAGCGTCCAGTGGCGCGGATCTAGGGAGGCAGCAGACTAAGGGGCCTTGTGCGGGAGAAAGGGACGAGTGCTGAGAGACGGTTCCGTGTTGTCTACTCAATTTGGAGAGACCGCTCTGTTCCGGATCTTGGCGGAATATTCGGTGGGTGAGGATGAGTAGGTTCCATCCCAGTTGCGAGCCAAATGTTAGAATGTGGCCCAGGAATGGGTCCATCCCGTTACATTCTCGTTGGTTCCTGGAACCAAACACATCCCAAGACACATCGAAGGCAGGGGCATCAAGGATTCGATCAGGCGAACGGCTGCTACCAACTTTCCCCTTCCGTCTAGGCTCTCAACCATGTCTTCTTCTTGCTTTTCCCCAATTCGGCACATCTGTGCCTGTAATCACTGAATGTATCCAGCCATCATAGCTACTAAAAATTCATCAGGCAATATACAGAGGGCATCCAGAGGATAACGTCATATATATCCTTAGATGAGTCCAGGATTGAGGATGTCCCTCAACTTGTGATAGACGAGAATGAGATTTTGACTGCCCCATTTACGGAGAAAGAGGTGTTTGAGGCCATTTCACAAATGAAGAACAATAAGGCTCCAGGGCCGGATGGTTTTCCAGCGGAGTTTTATAAAAAGTGTTGGCATATTATCAAAGGGGATTTGCTCCCGATGTTCCATGATTTATTCTCTGGATAGCTTCAGTTGTTTCAACTAAATTTTGAAACGATAACTCTACTTCCTAAAAAAACAAAGGCCGTTCGTATTAAGAAGTTCAGGCCTATATGTCTTCTTAATGTAAGGTTCAAAATTTTCACCGAGGTTAGGACTAATACTCTTACACAAATTGCGCACTCTGTGGTGCAACCGTCCCAACCTGCTTTAATTCCGGACAGAAGCATCCTAGAAGGGGTCGTCGTCCTACATGAAACGCTCCATGAAATCCACACGAAAAAACTAGACGGAGTTGTTTTCAAAGTGTACTTTGAGAAAGCGTACAATAAGGTCAAATGGCCCTTCCTTCAACAGGCATTGCGTATGAAAGGTTTTGACGAGGCGCGGAGACACTAGATAGACTCTTTTACACAAAAAGGGAGTGTTGGGATTAAAGTGAATGATGACATAGGTCACTACTTCCAAACACACAAATGGCTGAGGCAAGGAGACCCGATGTCACCTATTCTGTTCGACATAGTGGTCGATATGTTGACAATTCTTATAGGAAGGGCTAAGGATGCATGTCAGGTTGGTTGCCTCGTCCCGCACTTAGTTGACGGTGGTGTATCCATTCTAAAGTACGCTGATGATACTACCATATTCATGGAGCATGACTTGGCAAAAGCGCGAAACATGAAGCTCGTGTTATGCTTATTCGAACAATTGACCGGGTTAAAGATTCACTTCCACAAGAGCGAATTGTTCTGTTTCGGAAGAGCTAATGATGACCAAGACGCGTACAAACAATTGTTCGGGTGTGAATAGGGGGCTTTACCTTTCACGTATTTAGGTATACCCAATTCACCATCGTAAGCTGACCAACAGAGAATGGAAGTGCATTGAGGACCGTTTTGAGAAGAAACTGAGCTGCTGGAAAGGCAAGCTGATGTCATACGGAGGCCGATTAATTCTCATTAATTCGGTCCTCATGAGTATGCCCATGTTTCTTCTCTCCTTTTTCGAGGTACCGGTTGGAGTCCGGAAGAGGCTAGACTTTTATCGATCACGCTTTTTTTGGCAGAGTGATGAATTTAAGCGAAAATGCAGACTTGCTAAATGGGATATCATTTGTAGGTCGAAAGACCAAGGGGGTCTAGGCACTGAGAATCTGGAGGTGAAGAACAGATGTCTACTTGGCAAGTGGCTATTTAAGCTTTCTATCGAGACGAAGGCCACATGGGCTCAGATCCCGCGTAACAAGTACCTTCACTCTAGAACCTTATCCCAGGTGACAGTGAGGCCGACTGATTCACCTTTTTGGAAAGGATTGATGAGAGTTAAACCACTATTTTTCAATAGGACAAGGTTTATAGTTGGAAACGGTACCGCTACGAGGTTCTGGGAGGATACATGGCTAGGGGAGACGCCCCTCGCACTCGAATATCCTTCTTTGTATAGCATTGTTCAGCATAGAGACGCTTACATTGCAACAGTACTGCAGTCCACTCCGCTCAATATTCAATTTCGGAGGACGCTAGTGGAAAACCGTTGGGAAGCCTGGCTCAATCTTGTGAGAAGATTGATGGATATTCAGTTGTCTCAACAGCCCGATCAGTTGTACTGGAAACTAACTAAGAATGAAGAGTTTTCAGTTAAATCCATGGACTTGGATGTTATTAACTCTAGCGTGATTCCTAGAACGAAACATATTTGGAAAGTTAAAGTACCTTTGAAAATCAAAGTGTTTATGTGGTTTGTGCATAAACAAGTTATTTTAACTAAGGATAATTTGACAACACGTAATTGAACAGGATCTACAATGGCCAGGAAGCATTTGGTTACTAGAGCTACCCGATGGGCGATGGTAGCACGGGATATTTTCAACTGGTTTGGATGACGGTCATGTAATAGGATAGGCATTTAGTGTTCCTATCTTTTTATACTAGGCGGTTGTGGCTTTTCTTTTACTGTTTAGCTCTTCGTGAGCCTTTTTTTGTTCTTTGTTCGAGACATGGAAACTTATGTTGGATCTTTTGCTTATTAATAATCATCACCGTATGCATCATTCTGATGCAGAGATTGGGCGAACCTCTTTTTGAAAGAAAAAAATATACAGAGGGCATATCTGTGAGTAGTTAACAGATGGTACAAATGGGCAATCTCAGTGTCAGATTGCTTGCACGTCTTCAGAAACAGAGAGAATGAGACTCACAAGTAACGACAGCCTTAACTGAATGAATCATCCTGCTCTGTCATCTTGAAGACAGCTCACAATTAGAAAATTAATGACCTTTTCGGTCATAAGTTTGACATGCAAACCCCGCACAAATACGGAAAATTCAAGGACTTTTTTGGTCCCAATGTCTCGGATTTGCATTGCCCCAATAACAGCACACACTGCCATCATCGATAATTTCTTCATAACACAGTGATTTTTATTGACATAGAAATTCTGTACATGCATGTAACAAGTCACTTGAAGTCAGATCCTAAGAAAAATAAGAAAGAATTGTCACGAGACCGAATGAATCGGGAAGCTACTCCCTCTGTACAGCTTCTTAGATTTCATACAGTATCTATGAACTGCCGTAGCAAGTTCCTCTATCCGCCACAGGGAGCTCCGTCCTCGACCTGCATGTCCGCCACGTCGTTCCCCTCGTTCATGTACGCCGACAGGTTCAGGTACTGCTGCTGGTCCTGCTCCCGGTCCCGGCTCGGCTTCCGCCACCTCGCGCGGCACACGACGCACGTCGCCGCCCGCCTCGCGCGGCTGCGCTTCCACCGCGCGAAGCACTCGGCGTGCACCGAGTTCCGGCACGTGCCGCACGTCAGCAGCGGCGCCGCCGCGCCGCCTTGTGCCTCTGCCGCCGGAGGCGCCATCTCCTCGAGGCACACCGGGCAGGCGGCGCCGTCGAGGCGCCCCGACGGCGGCGCGGCGGACTCCTGCCGGCGCTGGTCGGCGGCCTTGGCGGCCGCGGCCGCCGCGTGAGCCGACCACAGCTGGTGGAACCTCGCCCGGGCGCGAGGGCCGGCGAGCACCTCCGGGTAAGTCGGCGCGGCGACGAGCCGCGCGACCTGGCACGGCCGCAGCGATTGCCTCCACACGCAGGCCTCGTCGAGGGACAGGCCGAGGACGCGGAGCAGCACGAAGAGGATGTGCTTGCAGGGCGCGCCGGGGTCGGGGCACGTGCACGCCGGCGTGGTCGCCAGGGTCACCGTGTACACGTTGCCCGTGGCGCCCAGCACGAAGAAGTCGGCGCCGGCGCGGTGCAGCAGCAGGAGGTGGTGCTGCAGCGCGCGGATGATGCGGTTGGCGACGCGCCGCGTCGACGCCTCCTCGGTGCCCGCCGAGCTGGACCCAAACGACGGCTCCATGGACACGTCTCGCGTTTCTGGCATGGGATGGCGGGAGCCCGGGGGCGCGCGGCTATGTAAGGCCGGGGCGCCATGCCATGAGATGCGTTGAGTGCCGTGGGAGAAGACTGCGGCGATGGGGATTACGGGGGCCGGAAGCAAAGCTCACACGAGGGAAGAGGAGGAGGCAGCTCCGGCAAGTTAACTTTGGGCTCAATCTTGGGCACCTGACCTGCAGCTGTAGGAGTACAGACCAATTCTTCCAAGTCTCAGCAGCAGGGTGTACCAAAGCATGGGTTAACTGAAGCAGAAGCATACTTGAGGAGGTCAGCTTGGGAGGTGGATGATGGATGGAAGCCATAGCCATCCGATTTGACCGGACTTGTTTAAGGAAGAATATTCCGAAGCGGCCGTTATTGTATTCTGGTGAGATGTACGTACTACACATGTAGTGAGCGCGTGCGTGCGATGCTGTTCAAGACATCAAAGTTTTTGGTGGTGATGCAGAGTGAGTGCAGATGCAGCAAAAGAGGGTGGGAGCAGTATAGAACTGATGGTCCGTACACATAGCTAGAGTTGACATTTTGGCAACATAATATTTTGGAAAGAGAAAAAAAATTCGACGAAGGATGGAATTTATTAGTTTAAAATGCATCATCAAGAAGATACATAACACAATGAGCACATACTCGGTCTTTGCATAGTTAGGATGCACATACCCAGCACCAACTCACACATACATATGAAAATACGCCGGCAACCAGTAAAGTCATGTAAGACCAGAGCTATGCGAAGGCCGGGAAAAAGGAAAAGAAAAACCCCAAGCGATTAGATATGCTATCGGCAAACTACAGCAAAGACCATATCTATATCAACCATCTCATAACATTACATGGACAATGAGGTTCTTCAACAACAATGCCTTCAAGAAGGGAGCGATACTTAAGCACCATTTTCATCTTGAAGAATCAGTCCAAGCATACCCGAGCAATGCCTTCAACAAGTTAATCCCGCATCTCAAACGTTCACAAACCCCTCCAGGTGCGTCTGCAGATAGTGATCGATCATCTCTTATTTTGTTGCCTCCGCAACCTTCCCTCTCATATCATGCCCTTCAAAAGCCATGTAACGTAGATGCTCTAAAACTAGCAACTACGTAGACCAACACACTTTAGCAACAAACGGACATAATTCACATACTAGTAACCACTTCCCCATGCGGTGCCGGTGCGGCTGTACCCCTCTGTGTAGGCGTTGACGATGAGAGGGACGTCATTGTTGAAGCTAGAGCCATCTGAGAGGTCGGAGTCGTCGGAGGAGGAGATGACGCTGGCCATCCTCGGGACCGCGCACGCCTACACCTTCGTCAGCCGGGCGGCCTTCACTTTGGCCACCGCTTCCTTCGTCGTCTCGTGCCCCGACTGCTCGATGGTGAGCCGGTGGGCTTTGGCGTTTTTGCGACGGAGTCGCCGCACATCGATCTCCGCCTTGGTGAGGGAGCGACGGAGGACCTTCGCGAGGAGCTGGTCCTCTGGACCCACCGGCGCGTGCGGGGGCCCTGCGCTTTTCGCACCTCCACCCTCTCCCCCGCCTGCTGCCTCTCCCGGCGTGCGGCCCGTGCCTCAAATTCGGGCATCCATGGTCGCGTCGACGCCGGCGCAGGCATGAGGACCCAACAGCAGTCGGGGACACCATCTGGAGCAGACAGAGAGGGACAAGGGGGTGCAGACCGGCAGGGGCTCGAAGCGCCCGGAGCTGTGTGGATGTGACGTATCGACACCATCGTCCGCACTGTGTCGCCGGGTGACAGGGGACGGTGTGGAGCCAAAGCTTCCGCTTCCACCCCGGTCATGCCACGAGCGAAGTAGAGCAATGTGGACGACGAGCTCCTCCAGGTCGCCCGCCTCGCACAGCAGCGACTCCCGGTCGTCATCGGCGTCGGATCCGCCGCTGGACACGCTGTTGTCATCGCTCGACCTGAATCGAAAGGGAAGGGGATGGGGAGAGGAGGAGATAGAGAAAAGTGGAGTGGAGTGAGCGTTTGACTGTCGTCTAGGGTTCATCCAAGTGGGGATATATGCGAGGTCTAGGTGGGCCAGGGTAGTCTAGGCCGACGTGTCTGGCACGGCTAGGCATGTACGGATCTTCCTAAATTCGTCCCAGATTTGGCCTGGGTTTGAGACATGCTGGTCAACCGAGATGACTGCGGCTGGTTTGAGGAGGTCGGCCCCGGGTCACGGTTTTGTGACCGGGACTGTCCGGATGGTCCGTATAGTCAGCTTGAGCAGCCCGGCTCTAGAAGCTCTGATGCACAAGTCTCAAACAAACATGCATGATGGACCGCACAGAAGTGATTGTTACTACTTTCTCCGTTTTAAAATTCTTGTCTTATATTTGTATCTAATACTAAAACGTGAGTTGATACATTTGTATTTAGACAAATCTATGAAAGGGTAATTTCTCTTCCTTAATCATGGTCGTAAGTTATAGATCAACTGGTCTTAATGAAAGAAAGGCTAGGTCCCCGAAAAAAGGAAAGTAGATCCTGTCGGCGTTCTGGGAACGGGGGTCCCCAGACTTGCCTGCCTGCAGCCTGCGGCGTGACTCAAGTGGGGGCTCAGCGCGGCCCATCTTCATCAGCTCAAGCTCAAGACCCTCGCGAGGGGCCAAGCCTCGCGGGGCGGACGACAGAAAGCTTCCTCAGAGGCAGCCTCATCAGACAGGCTCACGAGGAGGCGGAGATATCAAGGCAGGGGTACCTTGCGAGGAGCCCGTGATGCAAGCCATGACGATCGAGACCAGGCGGACGCCAGGCCTGCGCAGCGTCCTTATTTCCCCTTTGGTGCAAAGGGGGCAAGCACGGGCCAAGGCATCGGGCAAAGGTTGCCATTCCGGTGCAACGAGACCAAGACCAGCAGAGCGGCAGGACGGAGGTCACCGTGAAGTTCAAGACGACGTCATCACCAGTACTTTTGGCAGCCGAAGACCACCTTTGATCAGGATAACTTGTACTGGATGTTCCCCTTTTAAATGGCCAATTGTTGGCGCTCTTCCCGCTTATTATTTGGGGAGAGGCCCAGGGCCTCTATAAATAGAGCTAGCCACCACAGGGTAGAGGATGACCGATAGAGACATCGAGAGATGGGGACACCCAAGAGCAGAGACATCTAGGGATCTGATAGAGCCCTAGCAGAGAGAGAGAGGGGACTGAACTCATCCAAGCAGTTCATCGCACCAGCTCAAGAACACCTCTCGCGAGGCTGTTCTCCCCTTGTACTGTTCATCATCAGCCCCTGAGGCAATCCATCACACCACACACTGGAGTAGGGTATTACACCACAACGGTGGCCCGAACCACTATAAACCTCGTGTCCCTTGTGTGTTCGTTGTTTCCAGCTTAGATCACGTGAGGAGATTGGACGTAGATCGGTAGGGGAGAGATCTCTGCGCACACCCCAGTGTTCGAATCTCAAGGGTCTGCCGGAACCCGAAATCCTACATTTGGCCCGCCAGGTAGGGGTGCGCCGGAATCTTTCTTCCGTTGTTCGCGTGTGATCTTCCGTCGTGTCCATGGCTGACGCTCGTCGGGTTCGCGCCGAGCGCCGAGCTGCTCTCCCCACCCGCGTCGCCCAGATGATGCCCGTCGGTGGACGCCCTCGTCGTTCCCCGTCGCTTGCCGCCAACGCCGCCACCGGCCCGGCGGGAAACGAGCAGCAGGCCTCGTCCCAGCATCCTTCGGTACGGCGGGAGGGCCGCACCGCCACACCGTCGCTAACTCCAGCCGCTCCGTCGTCCCACGCCCATCGCGCCCCCACGGACGCGCACGCCGCGCTGCTCCTAGCAAGAGAGCTCTTGCACTACCGCCCCGTCGACGATCTCTACGAGGACTGGCTCGCCCGCATCACCGAGCTCGTCAGCGCCGCAGGGGGCTCCCCCTTGTCGTCCCTCTCGCTGCCTCGCCCACCATTCCGCGCAGGAGGTGAGGATCAGGAGGTGCCTCCGCCACCTCCTCCCCAAGAAGGCGTCCTGGCTCCAAGGCGCGCAGCCCCAGGGCGAGACCCTCCGCGTCTGGCGCCTGCGCAGCAAGAAAGGAGCTGCCAAGAGATCCCTCGTCCCCAAGAAGGTGCTCGCGTGCTCCCAGCGCCGGCGCGCCAAGATCACGTCCCTGCACCTTCACGCCAAGACCCCGCGCTGCTCTAAGCGGCGGCGCGCGGTAATCCCCAGGAACAAGCCCAACACCAGCAAAAGGCACCGGTGGCCACAGCAGGCTGCCGTGCCCTCACCCCCGAGCTACGCGGTGTCGCATGGCCAGGCAAGTTCAAGCCTGACCTGCCCCCTCGCTACGATGGCACGGCAGACCCCGCGGAGTTCCTACAGCTCTACGAGCTATGCATCGAAGCCGCCAACGAAGATGAAAGGGTCATGGCGAACTGGTTTCCCATGGCGCTCAAGGACGGGGCCCGCACCTAGCTCCTGAACCTGGCTCCTGGCATGATCTCCTCCTGGGGCGAGATGCGCACTCGCTTCATCGCCAACTTTCAGGGCACTTGCGACCGGCCCCCAGCCATGAGCGATTTGCGTCGCATCAAGCAGCAGCAAGGGGAAACCCTGCAGAAATACATCCAGCGCTTCAACAACGCCCGCCTCAAGATCCCCAAGGTGACTGAAGAAGCCATCATCTCGGCCTTCTCCGATGGCGTACGCGACATCAAGATGAAGGAGGAGCCAGCAATCCATGAAGACCTGTGCACATCCCTGGAGCTGTTCAACTTGGAAACCAAGTGCACCAGGGCTGAGGAAGGGCACCTTTCCCTCCTCGAACTCCCGGCTGCCGACCCAGAAGAGAAGAAGCCCAAGGCCAAGGACGTGAAGCGCAAGGGGGCTGCCGTGCTTGCAGCGGAACCGGACACCAAGCGAGGCAGGAATCAGCCTGAGTCATCCAAGGGCAGCTGGTACTGCGTGTACCACGACCTCCACACCCACAACACCAATGAATGTCAAGAGCTCAGGGCCGTGAGAGATGGACGTGTCGGCCGACGCCCCGA